CACCACCTCCGCGTCTTCGATGACCTTTCTCTTCAGCTGCTTTTCGTTGGGCATGTCGTTCCAGTCCTCGCCCAATCTCTTCTCCCAGTCATCGAGAAGGTAGGCGGCGCATTGGTCAATCCAAAAGTCCAGCAGGTTCTCCTGGATCCTCGCTGGATGTCCCAGCCGGACCATGCTTCCCAGCTCGGCCTCCCACAGTTTTTCTAGCAGGTTGTCCACGGCAGTGTTGGACGGCGCGCACACCAGCACCCGCTGACCTCGCTCCACGTGCTGCAGAATCGCCTCCACCGCAGTGGTGGTCTTCCCGGTACCGGCCGGTCCGTGGATGATCGCCAGCCGCTGCTGGCGCAGGGTGAACTCCACTGCCGCGCGCTGCGACGGGTCCAGCAGGGTGTTGAAGAGCCGCAGCTGGCCGCTTTCGTCGAGGAGCTGCGGCGGCAGCTGCGCCGCCGGCGGCTCCAGCGGACAGGCGTCCTCGGCGAACAGGGTGGCCCGGAGACGTCCCACTGGACCGGACTTCAGCGACGGGAGGGCCTTCAGGGCGGCGCACATCCTCTCGTGGGTGCTGTCGTCGTGCATCTTATGCACGTCCACGAACGTGTGCAGGGGGACGTGTTTACTCTTGTTCTTGTCCATCACCAGAGTGAGCTCGAATTCCGTCTTGTGCCGGACGACAGCCGTGGGCCACCGCTCGCCCACCCGCACCCTGACACTGTCCCGGCTGGAGATGCAGTTTCTGGGGAACATCGCGTCCCGACCGGCGGCGGGTCGCAGCAGCAGCTCGTGGAAGCGGTGCCGCGTCCTGCGCTGCTGAGCCACCAGCAGCCCCGGCAGCTGGTCGCGGCCGTACAGGCGCCGGCGGTCCCACACCTCCGTCCTGTGCTCCTTCTCCAGCAGATGGAGGTGCAGCTTCACCAGCTCCTTGCAGCTCAGCGGCTTGGGCGGCGGCGGCTGAAACCGAAAACGAGGGGACCATCAGTGGTCTGTCTTCCTGTTCCCTGCTAAAACGTCTTACTTGTTCTCTTTCGCAACTCTCTTCATTTTCTGTGATGGACCTTCTTTCCACCTCCGCCTGTGTCCAAAATCCCTCTAGGTTTTACGCCAGAACTCCCTCCCCGTTCTCTACCAGTCTTTCTGCAGTGTAACTGCACGCCAACAATAAGCCGATCATTATTGCTGAACTGGTCTACACATTGCCAGAGGGACACTCACCTCAGAGGGAGGACCAGGTGCCGGCTGCGAGGGAGGATCTGGCGGCACGACATCCGGCTGGGAGGCGACGCCCGCCTTGGAGACCGTCCCCGTCGCGGCGACGTCGGCGGTGGTGTCCGCCTCTTTCCTGTTCCTACTCTTGGCTCTGGCCCGGCTGCCACCGCCCCGGGTCTCTGATCGCGACTCCCTCATATTACACGAGAGCTGGCACCGTCAGAGCTCCTGCAGACAAACGGAACGCAAAAAAGGCGCTTATCAATAATGGGGCTTGAACCCTACATAAGTACACGCTAAATTTCTCTTATATCCTTTGACATTCAAGGTAATATAATCGCACCTTCAAGGTCTTCGCAGATTAAATGTAAATATTATATTCGGGTGTGAGGGCTCAGCGCTCCACCTATATGTTTATACATGACTGAAAACGTGTGACTGCTCATGGACTGAGTATTATTCCCAGTAGTTGTTTGCAAGGCATAAGCGCAGCTCTCTTTAATTTCGATTACGAAGCAGTAGACTGGTGTGCCTAGCCATGTCATTTTGGTAACTGTGTCTGCATCTTTGATAACATTGGGTATTCGCGAGACGGTCCTGAACGCTTTCATAGATCACTATCAATTAATAGATACTGAGCAGCTTGATACGGCCTGTCAGCATGTTGTGCGCAATGCAACGTTCAAAGTCCCCACCGCGATAGCTTATCTGTTCCGTAACGTGGCCGCCTGATTATACGAACCACTTTGCTTCAAGTCCGGGATACCGGTCAGGGGTGCGGTTATTTAGGAGATTGACGAAAGGATTTCGAGACCCTCGCTAGTCGCTTCATTAAATATTTATCGTGGAGCACTACTGTCGAATTCAGGAAGCACGACACAATGCTGCTCCTGAAAGGATGTAGTGAAATCTTTACCTCTCTCAAAAACGATACCTATCAGGATGCACAAACACTAGGTTAAGTCTCCAAAGTCGGCGCCTACCCTCAACAGCTTTTTTATTAGACCAAATTTGCTGGCTGGATAACTTCAAGAACCGGATTGACTGAACTAGGAAAATAAGGGAATCATAGAAATTCGGATAAAATCTGAACTTCTAGCACACAGAGCGTAGCCGAAAATGAGCTCCACCCTTTAGCGCGGCTGCGGGGACCGCCTCATCACCCTATACCGTGCTGAGCTGTCGTCAGCAGCTGTTTGTTGCAGAGTCGACCTTGGCCGCAGCACATTGCATCTGCATGGCGCGGTGCGTCATAGTAGGAATACGTCACCGGTGTTCCCACAGGCGTTTGTTACAGGGCGGCTGTGTCAGCAGGAAACAGGCCGAGGTAACGTGTCTCTGTGAGTGTGGCTGGTTATTTGGTGTTCTACTTCTCCAGCCGGTGAAGTGCGGAATGCCATCCCCTCCCCCGGGGCAGCTTTGATCATTATCTGAGGACCTCACGGGCTGAGGAAGGCTTGACGGCTGATGAGCGGTGCATGTCTCGCTCGCTGTGAGCGCCGTCACGAGAGCGTACCGAGAGTGACCGTCACGGTTATCACGTGTTCGTGAAAACAGCTGACTCGCCGGTCGTGACTCATAGGCTACACTGCCGACAGCGGTATAGCATTGGCTCTGTAGCCGTGAGTTGCTGACTGAATTATCCATCCGTAGCATTTTCTGTTTTTCTTTTTTAACGATACGTTACAAGCGAAGAATTATTTTCGCTAGTAGATGTCGTTATTAGTGGTAATGGTCGGTGGTTTTACAGAGAGAGCTGTCTTAGCGCTTGTGATCACGTAAAATAGATGTCAAAAGTGCCCGTCAGTGACTTCCCCGGCGGCGACAACGCAATCACCTAACATTTATCTTGTACTTACTAGAGTTCGTCGCAATGGGCTATTGCTAGGGTGAACAATTAATTTTGATGTTGATTACAACGCTCAGATAGTGGGCACTCATATTTTCCGTATCCTAGTGAAAATGGAAGCGAAATTGGCAAGATTCTGCACCACATAAGAGGGATTCGTGCTAGCAAATAACATGGTAACCATATATATCTAATAATTGGATACAGAAGGTTACGATGTTATCTGGATCTGGATATTATCCTCATCACCAGTCACACTCGAATGCATTTCAGGCTTCAAAAATTAACTGGTGAGCAATTCCAAAAGATAACACATATTTTCCCCACAAAAATGCGGCAAACTGACAAAATTACACACACGCTGTACTAACCGTGGTGTCCCAGTGTCGCACTCTGCCGTCTCCGCTACTCCCTGCCTCCCCGCCCGGCGGCCACAGCTGCGGCCTCGGCCGGCGCTCACCAGCGGTGCACCATGTGGGCACAAAACTGGTCCGTGATCCCCACCGAACCGTATCGCCGCGCCCCAGCGGCGGACTCAGTCCCGGCGCCGCGGGCTCTCTCAGCTCGCAGCGGATTTCCGAGGTCTCCTGAGACACTCTGAGACACTCTGAGACACTCTGAGGCACCCTGAGACCTCTTACGGCCTTCTAAGGCGACCCGACAGGTCAGACCCTACACCCACAGCCCGCCCCAGACCCACCTATAGACCAGAGGAGATCGCTGAGGCCGTGAAGAGACGCTCCGTATAGACGCTGCTGAGAGACGCTTCAACAGTCCAGGTTCGCTGAGAGTCGCCCTTCTGAGTCTGGATTCCGCTACGACTGCCAGGCCTGAGGCTGTCTGTGTCCTATGCCGTCCGTCGTCCCCTGGTGCCACCGCGGCCTTGTTGTATGCCCGGCGCCGCCCGTGCCGCTGTGTGCCCGGCGCGGCCCTGTTCCGTGGTCTCAGGTCTGACAACTGACGGCGGTATACCCACGGAATGGTGCAGCCTCAGCGCGCGGGGCGGCGGGTCCGCCGGGACCGGCAGTTCCGGCGGGGTTCCCCGGGCGGCTGACGGGGCCCGTTCCCCAAACTGACCTCCACTGACTGGGTTATGAGCGCCCGGCACGGTAGGGCGGGAGGGCCAGGCCGGGAAATTGTGTGTTTGTGTGAGAGACTTTCTGATACGTCAAATTCATCACGGGATGGAGATATACAAAGCGTCTCGATGTGGGAAAGTCTGGTAAGTAATGCGAACTGAAACCTACATAAATAAGGAATCTGTTGGAAACAAGGAACTAAAACAAACAAAAAGGGGATAGGTAGAGTGATCAATGATGTGCTTCAGAGTACCGTCTCACCTGGGCAATGCTACCAACTCCTCCAGCATACATACAAATTACAACGTACATACATATATCCCCTTTAATTCAATATACCGCCCAGCCTCATTTTATCTCATAGCTTCAACGTCTCTCAAACGCCATAAAACTATAGGATGCAAGTTTTAAAGAAAATTGAAATTCAATATTTTTTAGAAATGTATTTTGCAGTTTTCTCTGCAAGAGTTCATGCCAGAAATATTTACGTTTGACATGCCAAAGGATGCAATATAGCCAAACGAAACGTCCCGTTTAGTTGACTGAAAAACCATAATCCTTCAATACTATGTAATCCATGGTAGGTAATGGTAATCCTATGGCTTTGTTTTCAAACTGTTCGTTGTTTCACCGATAGCTAAAGAAAAAAAACTATAAAGGTAGACATTGAAGCATAGTTAAAACATCATCTCTCGTAGCTGCAAAATTATACCTGTGTCCAATACGGCTCCTAATCACATGAGTCGCAAATCGCAACTAATTGCCTTATTACAATATCAGGTATATTTCAGCAGCAACGCAAATATTGTTCGTCGATTGACTTGCTGATAAATAATAAGTCATTCAAACATCAAAACGCTTTTGCATCCGTGGAATGAGCCGTATATCCATTGACGCGGACCACCATGACCTATTATACACTCGTAATAAAATACCCACGGGCATAGAACCATTTCAGTCACTATCTCGACAAAACATCTCTGCCCAGCGAAAAAAAAAAAAACAATAAAAAACATTGCAAACCGCCATTTCCTCCAGCAGGTCTATATTATTTCTTCGCTTCTCTCTGCCCTGACCGATTCTCTAGTGACCACGCTGTCTCTCGGATCCTTCTCCCCTCTCCCTTCCCTCTCTCCCACTCTCTCCCTCTCTCTCTCTCTCCCTCTCCCCCACTCTCTCCCTCTCCCCCACTCTCTCCCTCTCTCTCTCTCCCACTCTCTCCCTCTCCCCCACTCTCTCCCTCTCCCCCACTCTCTCTCCGTCCACTGCCGCTCACATACAGAGAGGCTCTCCGAAGAAGGGTGTCGACTGCTCCACCATCCTGGTGACGGTCCTCTCCAGCCAACAGAACGTGTCTACGTCTGCCATCCTGGTATACACGTCCGGCCAGCCGAGCAGGCCGCGACACGCGGCGTTCCAGGAGAGCAGGCCGACCAGCACGGTCCGGCCGGGTCGCGCCGGGTCATCGCAGGTCAGAGGGGCCCCGGAGTCGGTCTGGAGGGGAGAGGGGAGGTCAACGGGGGAGGGAGGGTCAGCGCAGGTCAGAGGGGCACCAGAGTCGATCTGGAAGGGCGGGAAGAGAGGGGGCAATGTTAATAACAGAGAGACATGGTGATGAAAGATAAATAGTCGTCGTCGTCTAAATTCCAAGTTCTAGCCAACAACCAACAGCCAACAGTCCACAGCACACAGTACTCACAGTCCTATAGTCTACTACCCTTACTCCGCACTCCCTAGTCTTTACAGTCGTTAATCCACAGTCTCCACAATCCACAGTGTCGCCCCACAGTCCCCACTGGGCACTGACCCGGCAGGCCGACTCGGAGCCCGGTTCAGTAGCGGCGCAGATGAACGAGTAGTGGAGTCCGAACGTCTCTGGCAGTTTACCGGTGGCCTTTAGACCCTCCTCGCACTGATCTCGCGTCAGGAGGTGGACCGAGGTGGCTCGGACTGAGCTCGCTCGCTCCTCTGGGAACAGAGAGGGCGCCAGGGGTCACCAATGGACAGAGGGGGGCGCCAATGACCCCCATTAGACAGAGAGGGTCTCCATTGACAGAGCAGTGGTGCGGACTGATCTCGCTCGCTCCTCTGGGAACAGAGAGGGCGCGTGGGGTCACCAATGGACAGAGGGGGGCGCCAAATGGCGCCAATGGCCACCATTAGACAGAGAGGGTCTCCATAGACTGAGGGGTGGTGCGGACTGAGCTTGCTCGCTCCTCTGGGAACAGAGAGGGCGCTAGGGGTCACCAATGGACAGAGGGGTCACCATAGACGGAGAGGGGTAGCGCGGACTGAGCTGACCCGCTCCTCTGTGGACAGAGGGCGTCAGGGGTCATGCCAGAGAGGGAGAGAGAGAGAGAGAGAGAGAGAGAGAGAGAGAGAGAGAGAGAGAGAGAGAGAGAGAGAGAGAGAGAGAGAGAGAGAGAGAGAGAAAGCGAGAGAGAGGAAAAGGAGAGGCTAGGTGTCAAGATAAAGAAGACAAGAAAATATCACGAGTACCTACCTACGACAGCTTGAAGTTCGACTGAGTCGTTATAGCTATAGTTCGATCATATATCAGGAACCAGCACGGGAAAGAGCTATGATGCCGTTACTTGGCTCGTGGCACGTGCTGTGTAACACGGGGAGTGGGACTGTGCATTGGTGTAGTTTTTGGGAATGTGGAGTCCACTCAGTGATCCGCGATTCCCCAACAATTCGCGAATGAGCGAAAATGGAAGGGCACGAAAGTTATGCTGTCGATTGACGGATATGGTACAGTTATATCAATACCAGGAGCCAGAGGAAAAATCAATTTCGGAAGAAACGACTGTATGCTTCTGTTTCGCATCAAGTTGTCGGAAAGCTAAAAATGATGCACATCAAACGTTCCGACAGAGACGCCGAACTAGCCTTACAGCCGTTCTCTCGTAGAAAACAGGCCCACTTCGGCTTCAGTCGGTCACGCCACACCATTCAGCCGTACCCTCCGCAACCACAACACGAAAACACGCAGAAGGCGCCCTAATCCGGCGGATCTAATCCGCCGCGCGCCTTACCGTCGATAATCTGTACGGTCTGACAGCCGGTGAGTTGGGAAGGTTCGCCGGGGTCCAGTGTGGCCGGCCCCAGGCAGGCGGGGGTCACAGATGGACCGATTGGGACGGCCTCAGAGAGTCGCAGCACCGCCAGGTCGTGGTAGCGCGCCCTGCCACCCCAGTCGATGTGCAGTACGGACTCGGCCACAGTGAGGTCGCCACCGGCGCCCGAAGGCAGGCGGACCACGAGAGACTCGACCGGCTCGCTGTGGGGGAATTGTCAGAGTTTATATCTATTTTCTCTTACGAGCATCAAAGCCGAAACAATAATAAAGGTAATTGTGGTATCATATTTAGATCAAACCTGCTTTACTCTGTCACCGACAAAAATCGAACGTCAGGACAATTAGGTACTGAGTAAGTATATTTGGCCTGACTATCATCAGATACTTTTGAGCTACATGTATGAACCGTGAACGTCAAAACGTTTAAGCGAATGTAAGTGAGCCACTATTAACGACAATAGATGTCAAAAGAGCCTAGAAATGTGCGCAGGCTTCCCTTCCCAAATACGAAAAAAGATATTATCGGATTCGAAAAGCAAGCTTTCTCGTCAATTCATCATGTCTTACTCTTCGACGATGTGCGCGGCAGTGACGACGATCTTGGAGTGGATGAGGACCCCGGCCCCGCGCAGATGGGTCCCTCCCTGCTCCCAGACGGTCACCAGCCACGGAAACTGGCCGGGCGTCACCTCGTCGCCCTGAAACACACCGCAGATTGTCAGAAATACACACGGTGATCAGCCGCAGAAACTTTGTGCGAGCAATCGAGACCAGAGTTGTGACATCTTCTGTAGCCCACATAGGCTTTCGGCAGATAGTGATTCATTAGAAAAAATGAATGGAGGACACTGCGCCTCTGACAGCAGACTGTCGAGCAGCTATCTGAAGCAAGCTGTCGCTGCCTGTCATCTTTACACAGCGTTATGTCTGTGCTTCTGACAGGGAGCAAACAGGATGGGGCACATGATTATTCCCTGTAACATACCACAACCACATACGCCGTTATCAGTAAAGCCACGGAGAACGCTTCACTGATACATCACGTCGGTGCATTTCGCCTCTAAGCCAAAAATGCTCATTACAACTTGTCAGGACACTACAACTTGAGCTGACAACAACTTGTCAACAGTGATCAAACTAGAACATCACAGAGCACCGCTAGCCTAATCCCTGGACATGAGCACGCATCGCCTGACGAATGGCGTGCCAGGGGATCGGCATGCGATTGGAATTAGAAGCACGAACGTAAGATTTAAAGCGTAACTGAATGTCAGGTAAATCTAACATGAGATCTAAATTCAACTGAAGGTAGGTCCTAAGAAAATCAAAACGTCTGATGAGTGTGGGGTGGGCGTTTATCACGGTTATGTTATCATAAATGCGCATCAGTGGCCAAAAGATTAAGATGCGTCCTGGTGATAGCAATAGCTATAAGATCACGCCAAAGCATAAGTTATCTGGCATATCTATGGCCTCGTAGCATGAAGACCATTCAACAGTTAAATGCTGTTGAGCGTATCAAAGTTGAGCCATCATGAAATTGCGCTAACACTTTATAGTTTTTACCGACTGTCAGTATGCCGAGACTTACTAGAGCCAACTTACATGGCTTGCGACGCTGGTTCTTGTGCCGCATCCTGGCTCCTGAGACAGCTTTGCTGTCCCGTTCTGTAGGTGCAAAACGTGTCATTATGTTGTAAAAAAGTAGTCAATAGATTTCAATCCTGACATGGACCAAATTCATAATCGATCGCAATTTTAAGGAATCTTTCGTACTTCATTGTATTTGTTGAACGTTCATTGTGACATGTATGACTAGATAAGTGAAACTTTTTTAAATATAAAGGTACTGTATTATAGAAAGCCTTTGCAAACGCGTTTCGAATATATCATCTTCAGTGCTAGCTTCCCATAATACAAAAAGAAAAAAATCTTTTTTTTTCTTTTTGTATTATGGGAAGCTAGCACTGAAGATGATATATTCGAAGCGCGTTTGCGAAGGCTTTCTATAATACAGCACCTTTATATTTAAAAAAGTTTCACTTATCTAGTCATACTTCATTGTATCTTTTATGCCTACACACGTTTGGTGTATAATCGTCGACGTGATTCGTTAAGGTGACTCATTTCGAATCTTTTCACTGATATGGCGACTAAGATATTGATCCAAACGATACAAACATTATAAAAAGGAGGACAGAACTTCCCTCATAGCCAGATTCGAGCCATACCATTTTCTTCTCAGCCTGGACCCGAGATACCCACCTTTGAGTCTCCGTCTCCCTGCCGGCATTGGGTGCCGTCCACAACCTCCTCGGGCGGACAGCACACGTTACCCCGTCCCCGACAGCCCGCGGCCGGGGCCGAGTGACCTGACCTCTCGTCCAGCTGACCGCTGCCCGACACCCGGGCCGGGGTCAAGGTCACGTCCTGACCGCAGCAGCCGGCGGGCACACACCGACAGGCCGGGACGGGGGCGGTCTCTGAGGGGGCGTCCGCCGCCACCTGAGCTGCGGCCGAGGAGAAAAAGTCCTCCAGAAAGGCCTGGTCCTCAGCCGTGAGGGTGGCGGGAGTCGTCGGTACGCCGCAGGTCACCCGGAGGAGGACCAACAGCCAGAGGAGGGCGGCCATCTCTGTGGAGTTGACCGCAGGTCAGTCAGTGGTCGACGATGCTGGGTTACGTTGCGATAACGTATAGAAGGACGTAAAAGAGTGAAATGTTCGTGATAAGTGCACACTGAATGCTGAGCACCCTTTTGAGAACCACTGTGTATGTCAATGAATTAACCCGCGCACCGACGGGGGTCTGCGCCAACTTCGCACCGACGGGGGGGGGGGGCGGATGACCGCCCCCCCTGAGATCTCGAGAACGAAGCAAGATAGCGACAAGCGGTAAACGGCATCGGATACGCACGGCCAAGATCTACAATTTTTACTAAGGTCATTTTCAGGTCAGGTCAAAGATGACGTCACAGGGGTCGAAAAAGTCAAAATGGCGGCGCTAGATATGGAGAGAGTTTTTCTCGAATAACTTTCTAATTAGTCAAGATAGGAACAAACTAAGGGCAGCATCGTGATCCTCTCGTCAATCCGCATCGAATGATATATACGTTGACCTCGAAAGGTCAAGGTCAAAGGTTGACCTCAGGTCACGTGACCTCGAGGTCATCATGTATCTCATTCGATGCGTCTTGACGAGCTGAACACAATGAGACCATCCACGCGTCTGTATCTTGTTCCTGTACGGAGTTATTGGCCAAAAACCTTTGGTGACCTTTGATGACGTCACATGACCTCACAGCTGCCCAACAGCAAAACAGACCTCAAGGTAGTGAAGGTTGATCGTATATGAAGTCATGTATGGTATATGGGGCCATTCCGACCCGTTTTAGTGGTAAAAACAGGGAGTTGATTTTTCCCCCATTGACTTATAATGGGGAGGTCGCGAAATTGACCTGACCTTAGGTCACCGATATCAAAATTCCGAGATATACAAATTGTAGCTACTAATGACCTAATAGTATCCTGCGACTTTCAAAGGCCTCCGACATCTACTGTAGCTCTGGCACGGTGACAAAGTTGCAAAAAAGTGACTTGAGGTTGGGTCATTCAAAGTGACCTGGTGACCTGACCTTAAAAGGTAGGTGGTTGAAACTTGCACACCATGTGTAAAATTGATGAGGTTATAGTCATACCAAATTTCGCGGCGCTACGCGCCGCGGTTTTCCCGCTATTCGCGAAAAACCTCAGGGGGGGGGGCGGATATCCGCCCCCCCCGTCGGTGCGAGGGTTAAATTCACTTGATCTCATTAAATAGATAAGCGACCAAAAATACGACCATAACTAAACGAGATGTTTTCGGCTCGTGCTTTTTTAACTGGTTGGAAAAAGGATAATTTTTATTCTCCCCGATAACTTTCGGCTGCTGTTATAGAAACTTTATTAATTATAAAAATAAAGAAATGTATTTTAACACGCGCAGTGGACCGCGCACGTAGTCTGTGGACCGCTTTACCTATTGCAATCACGGAAAGAGGTGCAATTCATTTTAAGGCTGGTGCTGAAAATTTGGCGTTCATAGAATGACTACGGCGTGAGATATTTGAAAAAGAAGACGGGTAAGCGAAACCCGCTCCCCTTTCACTGCGCGTTGTAAAGGGGTACCCACTACTTGTCGTTATTTAACAGACAATATTAACCCGCGCCCCGCTGGGCTATTCAGCCATACGCGCCCTGCTGGGGGGGGGGGGGCAGATTCTGCCCCCCCCCCTGTCTAACTTCCGAACCGATGGTCGTAGAAAGACGGGGAAAACGGCAATCGAAAGCTCTCAACAAGGCGGATCTTAAGAGCCCAAATTTTTTTGCTTAAGTAGGTCAGAGGTCAGGTCAAGGTCAGGTCAAGGGTACAAAATGCAAGTTTCTACAGTATCGGCCTTGCACCGTAGTTGCCGAAGAATGGACTGAGACTGATTGCCCAAAACGTGTTCTTAGACTACCAAGACAATATTCGTTGAACACAATGTCATTCAAAGGTCAAGGTCAAGGTCAGGTCAGGTCAGGTCAGGTCACCAAAAACAAAATATAGAAAAGGGCATGTGCGACACATGTTTTATGGGTCATTTTACTCATGGAATTCAATAGGCACACTCAATAAGTGATATGGACCACCTCTGGATGAATTTCAGGTCGAGGTCAGGTCAAGGTCAGGTCAAGTGAGGTCAAATTTTGAAGTTGGTTGTTAAGGCCTAAAAAGGTGTCTATCCGATGCAGTTTTTCACGGCGAATCGAATGGTGCTATTTTTATTTCCGTACGAGGTCTAGAACTTCCAAAAAATCATTTTTCAAAATTTTGGTGTGTCGTGACGTCATAAAATTTTGAATGACTCCCACATTTTTGAACCGATTCTTCTAAAAATTGGTATGTAGGTGCACATAGAATACTTCTTTGACATATATTCCGGTTTTTTCGATAAACTCAAAATTTTGGATTTTATAAATATTTTCCCGAAAAAGTCAGTTTTTTGGAAAAATTTTGGCCAAAATCCAAAATTTTCAAAAAAACCGAGATAGCCATTTGATAGACAAAGTAGAATCACGTATAACCTTTTTTGTTACGTCTTGATTCCTTTAAAAATGAGGAAGTTAGCGGCGTTTGAAATTTTGCCGTTTTTTAGGCGAAAATGGCGAACATGACGTCACTAAAACGGCAATTTCTCAAAAAATTTCCGACGGATTTCGCTCCAATTTTCAGGGAACGTGTCAAATTGATGTATGATAAGGTACTGAAAGTTTGACGTCGCTGGCGTAACGCGTTTAGAAGCTATTGGCGAAAAACGGGAGGGGGGGCAGATTCTGCCCCCCCCCCAGCGGGGCGCGGGTTAATGCATTAAAACAGCTTTGGTCGTGTCAAACTACGTCTAACATGTTAATTAGTTATGTTGGTTGATCGGTTATTCAACTAGTTTATTAGTTATGCTAGTCACCGAAAATGGGAAGCCAGTCAGCATCGATATAGCTTGGAGTTGAAGGCTTGGTAAAGGTTTAAAGCCAACTCAGTCTTGAACCCATTGAAGATACGCTATGAGGTTTTTTGTAAAAGGGCTTTGACCTTGAGCAGTAAAACTGTGACATGGAACAGCATATTTTAACTGCGAGTCGCTAGATTCGATAGATGTGAAAGCAGTTTTTGGGTGTCTTACGACATCGTTAAAAATTAGGATGAGTAGGCAGTAGGCACTAAGTAACATGTGTTTTTGTTGCAGTTTCAGCAAACTGCTTACATTAGAATTTCGATATTTTGCCAGATAAAATAAACTTTTATGACAAATCAACTACCTGCGCGTCGGAAAGATACTCACCACAGGAAATAATGAATAAATAGAAAAATAAATAAATAGATAAATAGATAAATAAATAAATAATTAAATCAACAGAAACATGAAATTTTACCCCAGAAGCTGAGATCAGAGTTAGAGGGCACATAGCAGAGGACAGCAGAGATCGAATAGCGCACGGCCTCCTCACCTGCTTCGGAAGGGACGTGCTCCCGGCTCCGCAGACGCCGCCGTTCTGCCGCCGTTCTGGCGTACTGACCGCCGTACCAGCCACGATTGGTGCCGGGTCTCACCCCCCATGCAGTCTCACCCCCTTTGACGACTACCCCCCCCCCCTCTCTGTGGTCGAGACTGACAGGCGCCTCGCAGATGCACACACCCATTTTACGACCGGTCGCGAGTGGCTTCCTGGAGCGGATCCGGGCGGATCCACCTCCAGATCCATCTCCGGATCCAGCTATGACGAGCCGGCGGATCCGGGGGACCGACCGCCGGTGACATGGCGCTCACTCACGATGCCATCCTTCATCCTCGACGCGAGCCGGCTCAGCGAGCACGCTGTGAGTTGCATCACCATGTTCCGATGCACGGTGGGTGCTGTTTGGAAATAAATCGTCACGACTGTTCGCTGTCAAGAGGGTCGTCCTAGCCGCTGGGCGCCCGGTGAGCTGCTCGTGGCAGGGGTGGCTCAAGGTACCTCACTGTCGCCGGTGTTTTTTATGCAGAGGAGGCGCTCGCTCGGTCACGAGCTCGGCCGGCCTCGGTCGCCGGATATCCGTTCTGAGAAGGGGTGAGACGGGAGTCAGACGACTTTATCAGAGGTAGGGGAGAGTGGGGCAAAGCGGCCACCCGGGGCAAAGCGGCCATCCATCGTTTTAGCCCTCCACATCTGGCGTCAGTTCCAATTTATGGTTTCTAATTATACTTCTCTTCGCGGCCGTTCGAATGAGCCAGACCGTGGTTTCACGCCCATCGCCATTGTTCTGTGAAACACGGAAAAGCATTTCTTGCCAGGTTACCAACTATGTTTACAGTTTTTAAATGTTATTTTATTCCATAACCATTTGTAATTTTTATAAGCGTTCTTGTCCATGCATTGTGTGGATATCGTACATGACTCCTACCAATTTTAATGCTTTTTACTCCACTTATAGCTGAGCTGGAATATTTTTGCCTCGGACGGTATGCGCGGGGCAAAGTGGCCGGGGCAAAGTGGCCAGACCCCAATTGGCCATAACTTGTTTCCATCTGGATAAAAACATTATTTATATTCCAATGTGTCGTCAGGTATTCAGTTTGACCATTTTTCGGTTACAAGAGTTACCAAATAATGCAGTTAATTGTTTTTCCATGAAAATCCTTTATTTGTTTATCTACAGGTGGGAAAATAACTAAGTAAACATCCATCCTCACTTAAACTTTGTCACCATCAAATACCCTAGTCGTATATGAGGCAACTATTCATTTTCTCATATCGGGACTTGAGAAGTCGCCGGTGGCCGCTTTGCCTCAGGGATGGGGCAAAGTGGCCAATATGCTATAGGTTTAAGGTTTTGTCAATATCTCCCATATGTGAACGCCTTTGTAAATGAAACGCAGTTGGAATAAAAGGCAATTTAATAGGGATCACATTGGTATAGAAAGAATCTTTCCAAGTTTAGAAATCAAGCGTCGGCATCGTAAGAAGCGTTAGGGTGGCCGCTTTGCCCCACTCTCCCCTACACGGCTAACACGGCTCCTGTCACGAGCGACAGTCCCTCAGAGCGACGGACAATACCTCAGCGCGGAGAGCGTCACGACGGCTGGGGCGTCCCGCCCTCCACAGAGGCTGTGATTTATCGACAGGGTTGTCAGGCCTTTACCGGAGTCGGATAGTCTCTCACTCAGACGTCAGCCTGGGGCCTCCGTGTGCTGTTTGGCGCGGTTGGTCCCTAAAAGTGTGCACTGGCTACCGGCTGATCAAGGCGCTGGGCTGGTGGTGGAGATAGACCTTCACCTGTTAGCTGATTCTTCCTCAGCAATTAAGTATTGTCAATTAAATCTTAATTGAAATTCTAGGTTACCAATGTATATTTTGCATCTTTGGGTTTTCATACCAAGTGTGTAGTTAAACTCCACTGCAACTGCCAGCATTTTTGATATCCATTGCCTAAGTACGTTATTTTTGTGACATTGCATTTGTTTTAAAAGCGATAATTCAACCAGCAAGTCACTTATAGTATAATTTACACGGGTCGAACAGTTAGCTGTTTTTCGGTCATGAGGTCGCAGTTGCAGAGGCTAATATATGTTCCTCATACACTATCCCACACAATGGGAGATATGACCAGGACACCGTCAAGCTAGGTCACATGTTAGATCGTTTACTATATCAGTGTGTGTAGTTAACTAGTTATGTAGTTATGTACCGTGATATGGGGTAGTGTCCCAGCTCCTGAGCCGATAGGCGCAAGTAAGACTCCTAACGACGGCTCATCATTTGCTCCAGACGGGGATGATCTGCTGTCAATAGCTATGAACTCATTAGTCGTTACACGCCCTAGTAAGCTCAGTGAGCGGGGTGAGCTCAGTGAGAGACCCCCTGCCGAGTGCTATCTCACTGCACTGCACTGTTCACCGCTCAGGGACTAGGGGAGGGGTGTCTGTCCACTAGTCAACAGCGACATCTACCCGCGCTGTACCAGCGCCGGCACTCCTTGCACAGCGACACCTGTGTAGGGGAGATATTCCACTGCAACGGTTCCCGATCCACCTACCTCGACCGTCGACCACCATGGAGCCCTTGGTTCCCACCTTTCCTTTAAAAAAAAAAAAACTAAATGATGATATTAAAAAAACGTTTATATGAAGTTTCTCCTAAGGGCACGTGCATGAAGATTAAAGAGCGCGCAGACTAAACGAAGTGTTGGCCGTTTAAGCCGAAGGTCAGTTGAGGTCAAGATGAGGTCGTACTCGTTGATCCCACCTAGACGAGGCTGCTGAAACCTTCCCGGCGGTTCTAAGTGATTGCTCAGGAAATCATAGAGACTGAAGGCTGCGATTTGGGATGCCGGATGTTCACCTGAAATACGCCGTTTTTATTTTCTGCATGCCAAAGGGGTCGCAATAACACGACCGATAAAAAAGCGGAGGATGAATCAAATATCAGAAAGTGACAAATCCTTATGGTGATGACATCTAGCATTGTGCCTAGCTGAGATTTTACTTGCATCATTTACCTGTATGGTGCACAGTAACTGTAAAATGACGAACTTTGGTCTCTTTTTCACCGTCAATGATGCATATGAAAATTAACATGACACTTTAGCGTTTTTTTCTGGAATCTGACTATACCGAACAAGTATCTGTTTTCTTCAGGACCATCAAACCCCATCAAGCAAGTGTGTTGTGTGCTTATACGAGTACGCCTCGGTTTCGTTTGGGAGATATTTATTCATCGGTTAAATTTTTCACTTCATCTCTCAATCCCTCTCACTCTCTCCCTCTCTCTCTCTCTCTCTCTCTCTCTCTCTCTCACTCCCTCTCCCTCTCTCCCTCTCCCTCTCTCTCACTCCCTCTCCCTCTCCTTCTCTCTCTCTCTCTCTCTCTCTCTCTCTCTCTCTCTCTCTCTCTCTCTCTCTCTCTCTCTCTCTCTCTCTCTCTCTCTCTCTCTCTCTCTTTCCCATCCCTCTTAACATCACTTTCTACTAAGTATCAATACGCACAATTTCACCTACGACCCAAAACGATACTATCAGTCCGTGCACGCATGTTTTGCACGAAGACAGGCAGGTGGCGAACTCTGATGACGGTCGACAACTGGACGAACCAGTCGCGATGTCGCCAAACTGTCGTCACCCTGATGAAGCATCGGCAGATTTAAATAGGCGCTGTCACCACCAGATAGTCAGTGGCCGGAATAAGACGGGATTTCGTTTGGCAACGGGTCGCTGAGACCGGCGACAATTATTGCTGGAGAGCACTGGGATTATTATTGGAGAGCACTGTGATTATTACTGAACATCAGACACGTGTCACTGGACGTTTTCTGGACACAGGCACAAGACACGTGACAGTGGACATAGGCAGTGCCTATGTCTAGTGCCTATTAGGCACTAGACACGTGACAGTGGACACGTGTAACTAGACACTTTACCGACAGTCAATGAATGCTAGTCACTGGACATAGTCACTGGATACTGGACACTGGACACTGGTCACGTGTCACTGGACAGTCATTGGATACTAGACACTGTTTTTTAGGGGGGACAGTGGAGACGTGTTACTGGATGTTCTATGAATTTTTGTATACACGTCTTGGGAAGCTAATAAAGCGAAACGTCGGGCAATTGATGCATCTTATCTGAACTTAAGAACAATTTATGGACTAACTATTTACGATTAATTATTTTATGCATAGTCTGGAGCAACGACTTCCGTAATGTCTCTAGTTTGGTGCACTGGATACTATCGCTTAACCATTTTTTTGCGTTTTGTTTCTGTTTCCCTTTCTGATACTTAACCGGCTTGCGAAGAAGTTACACTTAAATGTGAATTTCGGTGTAACAACTCCGCTGCCTTTCGGCACACGCTGGCCACCTCCTCCCCTGACAGGCTGACGTGGACGAGTGTCAGCCAGTGATGGGTCACATCGCGAATCACCGAATTTACGCGGAGCACTATCGTGGCTTCCCCTATTGGGGCTTCACTGATCAAATAATGTGCGAGTGTGGCAGAAGTAAGTGAAACAGCATAGATGCCCGCAATTGGCATGGTTCCTATATGACCGTCACAAGCTTCCCGAATTGAATTGTTTTCAGATAGTTGGATTGTGATAAGATAATTTCTTCCCAGTGCACTCTTGATATAAATCCTGTTCTGGAAGGTGCTAAATTGGGATCAACGACCAATATTTATCTGATGTAGATAAATAATAAAAACTATTTATTATTTATCTACATCTTTGGGCTGTTACAAATCATATTGCTGCTTATCAGTTTGACTGATCTATTATAAGAATAGCATCCAGAATAGAACGCACCTAGTAACGGTGCATACTTTCTCCCGATTATCTGTCCCTGTTTCTCCTTCCCCTGCCTCCATTTTTTGCACACAGCTCTGCAACCGGGCTGCAACAGAAGCAGGTACAGCAAGTCCTGTTTGACACCGATTACCTGCGTGCCTGGCGCCACAGACTCGAAACAATAGCCCTAAGGTAACCTACTTCTATGGGGCGCAGAACAGGCTGTAATTGCCTTGGATTAAACGATGCGAGCGCATAGTTGGGAAGATATCTTAGGAATCCAATATTAAGTCCGCGAGATAACGACTAACCAATCAAAAGATTGATGTGTTCGAGAGTACCTAACAAGAAGGCTCACAAAAGGCTCTCTTACAATATTCAAAAACGCAAGTTATATTTAAGAAAAAATATGTTCACTCTTTGCTCAACCTGCGACTTTAATGATAATGAAAAACGTCTTCTGTGATCAGTTTTCGCATGTCAGGCATTTCCCAATAAAATGGGGAATATAAGAGAAAATGCAGACGAAATAAAATCACAGCGATAAGTTTCGAATCATGTGGTCATAGATAGTGGTTAGTAACATTAAAACTACACATATTCTTTACTTCAATGTACATATATTTTGCGCAGCAAACATTCAAACATGATTCGTTTTCGATAGTCGCTTCGCTGGCGCTTCACTCAATCGCTCGTAGCTGTCACAGAGGAAATGTTTGCTGCTGGCACGAGAGGGAATCCCGGTACCCTAACCGGTAACCCGCGCCCTGATGGGGGCCATTTTGGCCCCCCTGTGGTTTTTCTTAAATAGCGAGAAAACGGCGGCGCGCAGCGCCGCCAAATTTTAAGTACCTTACCGGGCATCAGTTTGACACCTTCACACAAAATTTCAAGTCACAGGTCACCTCAGGTCAGGAGTTATTGAGGTCAAACTGAGGTCATGTTCGAGAAAAAATGAGCAAAAAACATGACATCTTGAAACGCTCACCAATTCTACAGTTAACAAGCAATTTTAAAGTTTTTTATGTGGTTGTGTAGAAAAAAGACAGCGCTACAAAACTGTTATCTTGGATTTTCGATTTTTTTTTATTTAGACCCCTAAAAATAAAAAAAAATGATTTTTTTTAGAAAAACTCAAAAAATTTCCAAAAATTTTTCGAATTTCAAAAAAACGGAATGTATGTGATAATCCCTGCGCTCTTCGATATACATACCAAATTTGAGATCGATAACTCTTTTTTGGCCAAGTTATAGCGAAAAAAAAAAACTTAAAAATTGATGACGTCAAATTTTTGAACTCAATTTTTAGCAATTCTAGACCTCGTAGCGCAAAACGGAGACCACCATTGAACTCCCCATGACGAGCTGCATCGAAACGATACTCATTTTATGCAAAAATATCAATTTTGAAATTTGACCTAATTTGACCTGACCTTGACGTGACCTTGACCTGACCTTGACCTGACCTTGACCTGACCTTGACCTGACCTTGACCTGACCTTGACCTGACCTTGACCAAAACGTGACCTAAGCTAGTCCAAAAGTCTGCCTGACCCACATAATCGCATTTGTCATGTAGGTAAAATGGACCATAAAACATGTATCACACGACACTTTCATATTGTGACCCCCCCCCCCCCCCAGTGACCTGACCTCTGTGACCTGACCTGGTATCAGTGACCTCAAATAGCAAAATATGTGTTTGAAGAAAATTTCCCCATCGATAATTTTCAATGAAATGCATTTTACTCCATTTTACAACGCATTTCTTGAAATGCCTGTAAACGGTGAAAATTCGACCTTTGCCCTGACCTGTGACGTCATCGGTTTGACCGAGGTCAATGAAATCGGGTCACAAGGAAGTTCCCCGTTGGGGCTATCCAACGCCGTTTACCGCTTGTCGCTATGTTGCGTGGTTCTCGAGATCTTAGGGGGGGGGCCAAAATGCCCCCCCCCATCAGACCGCGTTGCTCGGCAGACCCCATCAGGGCGCGGGCTAAGGGAGCAGCGGCTGCGAATTGGATAGTGACTACCTGAAACCCATTCTTTGCTTGTCTTGACTGTGCTGGCGTTACTGTTAGTTGCGTAGTCGACAATAAGTCGCCTCCCTTTTACGGATGCATCAAAATATATTCCTGCCCGGGGCCGGGATGATTCAATAAATGTCACCGAGGTTTTTTAGCGAAAACTCCGAGGGCCGTTAGGCCCGAGGTGCTTTTCGCTAAAAAAGCGAGGTGATATTTATTGAACTCCCGGCCTTAGGGCTGGAAGGTGTTTCCCATACCTGCCAAAAAGCTCACAACTATAATTGATAGTGACGTCAGCAGCCGTGTGGTTCAACGCGTTTAACCGCACCCCTTGAACCACACGGCTGGCAATATTAAATCACTGCATTAAACTTTGAAAAGTGTGGTACAGTGCACGTGCCATTAAAATGCCTGGATGTCTCGATTTAATCATGCAATGTAGCAGGTATGGGAAAGCAGCAAGCAGCACGATGGCAAATGAAATGTGCAGTGTGCAATGTGCATCGTGGCTATAGTGACACAAATTAGTCGGGAAAAACGGCGAAATTCAGAATTGCAGCGAAGTTCATTTTAACCCTCGCCCGTATTGGTGTTTTTCCAGCCGCGAACGTATAAGGGGGGGGGGGGGTCCGTTGGACCCCCCCCTGCCGTTTCGCCCCTGATCGAGCTAGAGCTTCGCGGAAAAAACGAGCGTGTTGCCCGTGACGAGAGGAAGCCGATGATACCCAATTTTAAGGTCCTAGGTCATTGGTTGACCTTGCAGGTCAGGTCAATGACCCCAAAGGCGGGAAAATCGGGACCTGTTAGAACGTCGTAAAGTGTAGCTGCTATGGGGTTTTTCGGGGTGCTGATCACGAATATCATGTTAGTTTTGATCACAGATGATGTCTTCATGTATTTAGGCCAGGTCGGGTCAGGTCAGGTCAGGTCAACCAGTAAGGGTATTCGTAGTAGGTGGCAACCGCCTCTGACAGCTTCGTAACATGTTACGAAGGCACCAAAACTACTTCGTAAATGTTCATATGGTTGCTAAATTCGAATTCAGCTCCAAAAACTGACCTAGAAACATGTAAAACTCGAAAAAGTGAACCGATGTCATCAAAGGTCAATGACCTGACCTGACCTTCAGGTGACCTTGACACCCACCCTAATGCATGGGGGCAACATCATATCACATGTTTGAACGCTTGAAACCACGAAAAGACTGCAAACGCGCGGCTAATGCGAGCCGACATACGCCGAATCGCGATTCCAGCCAAACATGGTCTCGAAAAGTAGGTCACAGGTCAAAGGTCATTTGGGTCAGGGTCATGAAATTTTCAGGGTAGGTGTGAAATTGATGAACGCGAGGCTACTGAGAGTTTCGTCGTGATCGGCCGCTTTTTACGTGAGTTATTCGCGAAAAACCATGGGGGGGTCCGTTCGACCCCCCCCCCCCCCTATACGGGCGAGGGTTAAGATGAAATTCATAAAATCGTTCCTCAAAACACAATAATTGGTAGATAGTAGAAGTTCTCATTAAACCCTTATCGTGCTTATAAATGAGCTGTATAGGAAGTGAAAAAATCATTTGAGTTTTACAAGCAGTTTTAAAACGCAATAAGAATGCCATATGATTAAAACTTATCGTGATACGCTTGGATGTGATACATCGCCAATTGATGCGACTACAGTTGCCTTTGCAATGTCTATATACTATTGTCTTAATGTTTGTCTAATCAATGTTTCGCCCGCATTTCATGTCATTGCAGCTTAATTGGAATCACAAGGCTGTCGATCACAAGAAGGCTTGATCACTTTGCAAAACAATTGTTTATTGAGGATGAAAAACGGACATCGAACATATGTGACATAGAACCGGTGGCTTTAACTATGATGTGGGCTGTGATTGAATAGCACTAAAGTCGAGCCTGTAGGATCGTTGTAAGAGCACAAATAAATGCGACACGAGAAGAGCAATAGGAGAGAATAGAAAGTACAAAGTAAAGTCAAGGTAGGACGATATTTTTAGCTAGAAAGTGGTTAATGTGTTGAGGCTTCACGTGCGCTTTTCATTAAAGATGAAGCGATTGGACAGGCATCCGACTGGACAGAAATCCACCATCCATTGGACAGAAATCCGACTGTAGCTGTTCATCACTTTATCGGAGGACATCCTCCTATAGGTTCTCATATCCTTGAAATGGCTTCTGTACATTCTATTATAGTCCTGTGATCAAATATTTTGCTGTTAACACCCAAACACGCTTTGAATTTGCAGTGTTTTACTAGTGGCGACAGAGTGTCCTTGCAGTACCCCGCGCGGCACGTGTCACAGTGGCGGATGGCGCCGCCTTTCGCCACACATTCCTCACCTAACAACCCTCCGCGACAATCTCGGCGTGCGGACATCTGACCTGGCGACAGATCGGAGCGGCAAAGCCGGTCTTACGACCCCAGATTTACACTTTTCTTAAGGGAACCGGTCGCCCGAGCGGTTGATTGTCGCCGAAATGAGTGCGTGCGATGACCAGGGCGGGACCGGAACTCTGCGTGTGGGGACTGGGCCGGGTCACGCGCAGTATTTAACCGGCCACCCCCGGACTGATTGGCGCAGTGGCCATTGGTTTGGGTGACGGGGACGGTCAGTTGGAGACATGCTGCTGCGAACGTGTATCGGAGTGTTAATTGTGAGTGCTATGGGGAGAGACGGACAGTTGGTAAAGGGTAACGGTAAAGAGAGTGTATTTACCAATATTTCACCTTAGCATGGGATCATGTTGACAGGCGTTCAATTCTCTCTTTCTTTCCTTCTTTCTTTTCAATTGCTTTTTATTTGTCTTGGTTTTTTAATAGATAAAGATGTCATAAAATGTTAACTATAGAGGCAATAAAAATGTTAGCTAAAATTATCATCACTTATAGGAAGTGGGAATAAACATCAGAAGTTGAGCATTATTGGATTTTTTACCTCCGATCCAATGACCCGACTTTGACTTTCCTTTTTTCTGCCAGGTGGTGTGCGTTGCAGCCGACACCCAAAACTCCACAGAGACGTCCAGCGGCAATGGCACAGAGACCTCCCACCGTAGTGGACGGTACCTCTTCCAGTACATCCACAACTGGCTGGGCCTGACCACCACCACAACCACCAGCCGACCCATAGTCAAGTGTCAGGTGAGAAAACTTCAGGAAAACCGAAAGGGGACCTTTAGTGTGACGCCTTGGGTCTTGTGTTCTTGTTTGTCAAGCGTGACCGCCGAGGTCTGTAATTTGTGCTCAATATTGTGCTATTTTTTAACGTTTAATGTGGGCTGAACTTCAAAGGACAAACATATTTTTATGATTGGACACTAATTGATATAATGATTCAAAATGTGCCGTATACCAGTCCATAACATGTCCCTGTCGGTTTTTCAGGGCGCCGGATGCGGCGGCGGTGAGATCTCCGTCATCCCCGTGGTCTATGTGCCGGCCAAGACGAAGGAGTGTGACTACTCCCGTCCCTGCGCCAACGGCCACTGCCTCTCCGGAAAGTGTGTGGCCTGTTCCAGCAGCGCCCACTGCGGCGCGGGACTGGTCTGCAGTAACTACAAGTGCGTGCCGTGCTCCAATGATCACCAGTGCGCCGGAACCTCTGTCTGCGAGCACCACAGGTGTGTCCAGTGCCGCTCCCAGGGCGACTGTCCGTACGGCCAGACATGTCTCCAGAACAAGTGCAGGACGGTGGTGCAGATCAGTGAGTGCCAAACCGACGCCGAGTGTCAGCTGGGAAAACGCTGCTTGCAGGGGAAGTGCACGGCCGTTCAGGTCATCCAGTGCTACAGCGACGCCAACTGCGCTTACGGTCAGCAGTGTCAGAATTTCCAGTGCAGGCAGAAACTGACCAACCAGTGTAGCAGCCACGCAGATTGTCCTTACGACCAGCAATGCCAGAACTACCGGTGTACGGTGGTGCTAGTGCAAACTCATCAATGCAACAGCAACGCAGAGTGTCCTTATGGCCAGCAATGCCAGAACTATCAATGCACGGTGGTACCGGTGGTACTAGTACAGACCCATCAATGTACCACCAACGCAGAGTGTCCTTACGGGCAACAGTGCCAGAACTACCAGTGCAAGACGGTCCAGACTCCCCAATGTACCACCAACGCAGAGTGTCCCTACGGTCAACAATGTCAGAACTATCAGTGCAAGACGGTCCAGACTCCCCAATGTACCACCAACGCAGATTGTCCCTATGGGCAGCAATGTCAGAACTATCATTGCAAGACGGTGCAGACTCCCCAATGTACCACCAACGCAGAGTGTTCCTACGGTCAACAATGTCAGAACTATCAGTGCAAGACGGTCCAGACTCCCCAATGTACCACCAACGCAGATTGTCCCTATGGGCAGCAATGTCAGAACTATCATTGCAAGACGGTGCAGACTCCCCAATGTACCACCAACGCAGAGTGTCCCTACGGTCAACAATGCCAGAACTATCAGTGCAAGACGGTCCAGACTCCCCAATGTACCACCAACGCAGAGTGTCCCTACGGTCAACAATGCCAGAACTATCAATGCATACCGGTACAAACCAGTCAATGTCGCACCGATTCCGATTGCCCACAGGGTCACCGTTGTTTGCAGGGTAAGTGCGCAGCCGTCCAGCCCAACGAGTGCAACCATGATGCCGAATGTCCTCTTGGACACCAATGCCTCCAGAACCAATGCAGGCCGGGACAGGCCAACCAATGTTACAGCGACTCCCAGTGTTCCCACGGACAAGTCTGCAGGGCGAACCAGTGCACGGTTGTTCAGACTGGACAGTGCCAGAAAGATACCGACTGTCCCTTCGGCCACGCCTGCTGGGAGAACGAGTGTACCCCGGGTAAGTCGAAGAAGTGCCACAGCGACTCAGAGTGTGGTGTGAACCAGAAGTGCCGGGACGGCGCGTGCACGGATGTGACGGGGCGGCATAAGTCCTGTTCGATCAAGGTACCTTGTCCGCCCGGCCAGAAGTGTCGCGACGGTGTCTGCCAGGAGGCGGACGACGACTCGAGCATCTCCTGCTGGCAGAACTCCCAGTGCAAGTCTCACGTGTGCAGCAGTCGCGGGTTCTGCGCCGAATGCTCCAACGACGACCACTGTGCGCTTGGCCACTTTTGCCACAACTACCGCTGCGAGAAGCGCCTGCCGACTCTCAGCAAGTGCAATGCCAACAATCAGTGCTGGTCGGACATCTGCAGTAACGGTCTCTGCGTCAACTGTCGCAGCTCCTCCGACTGCCCCGGTCACCAGTTCTGCAACGTGTTCAAGTGCCAGGCGCTGGGTCTGTACAACGAGGGCTGCCGCGCCTATAGTCACTGCCAGTCCGGCAAGTGCAGCAAGCTCAACACCTGCGTGCACTGCAAGGGGCAGGCCGACTGCCATCCGGGGGAATTCTGCAGCTACAAGGGCCTCTGCGAGACGAAGGCCGACCTTCTGGACAACTGCGAGTCCAACACTCAGTGTGTGAGCGGCCTGTGCGGGTACAGCGGCTTCTGCGTGCAGTGCCGCGTCAACGCCGACTGTGCCGCCCAGGAGCGATGCAAGGAGTCCGTCTGCCGACCCAAGCTCTCGCTCGGACACTCCTGCAAGCACGACTCGGACTGCTCCTCGAGCAAGTGTCGCGGCAACGTGTGCGTCCAGTGCACCAGCCGCTCCCACTGTTCCCGCGGCGAGTTCTGCCAGGCGGGCGTCTGTCAGGCCAAGAGTCCCCTCGGCGCCAAGTGTGAGGAGGACGACCAGTGCGCCTCCACGCACTGCAAGCGCGGCCTGCGCGAGTGTGTGGCATGCACGAGAGACGTCCACTGCGGCTCCGGCAGGTTCTGTATCGACGACAGGTGTCTGGAGCGGATCCCCGTCGGCAACTGCTGCCGGACCTCCGCCACGTGCGAGTCGGGAGCCTTCTGTGACTCTGAGACGGACGGCCCGGCCCTGGCGCGGTGTACCTCCCAGAGTCAGCGGGGAGTGTGCGCCTTCCAACCGGACGGCGACGGCACGGGGATGGATGACAGTGGACGCAGATAAGGTGGGATTGTAAACGGCTGGAAACCCACGGTAAACTATTTCCTTTAAGAGATCTTCGACATTAACGAGAGGTGCGAGGCCATGAATGGAGGAAGTCATCTGAGAAACAAATGATCGAAAGACCAGTACTTGATGGAAAAATGATAGACTCCGCGAGCTCTAGACCCTTTAGGTTTATCACGTTCTTGAGAAATAAGATTAATGTGTCTCAGGCGCCACTGCACTGCAGAGGCATAGTTGTTAAAGGATTTTAGCCTTATTGTCCCATATGTTTATGGCAATTGTTGCTTGTTTTGCCACACTGTTTCGTTGGCGTGCGCTTATTTGTGCTTTTGTTCTTGTATGCATTGTGTGTCCTGCATCGTACGCAATAAATATTTATTGAACTAGCTTTGGGTTTGATCGAAGTTGACACTTGAAGATAGCCTATTGATGCACCCAGAGAGCGGCATTATACATTGCAGGAGCCAGGGGCGGATCCAGGAATTTTCGGGAGGGAGGGGGGCGGCAAGTCGAAATAGGGGCGACCTGGCATCCGGGGGCGCTTATACGAAGGAGCGCCAAACCGTCAAAATCGAAAGTTTAAAACTCGCTCCGTGCTGGGGGAGGCCCGAGGCGCTTATGAGGAACCGGGTCGAAAGCTTTTGCAAAGTCAAGTTTGCATACGTCAAGTGGTTTGTCGTCCTCAATAGCTGCGCTCCAGTCGTCCAGAACTTCCCAAGAGCTGAGACGTACAAGACCGCTTCGGCAGAAACCCATACCTACTGAGCTGGGTGCAGCAGGCCATGGTCAGTCAGGTGCAGGATCAGCCGGTCCCTCACTATGGACTCGAGCACCTTGGAGGGGACCGAAGTGGGGCTCACTGGCCGGTATTTTCCGGGGGACTGTTTGTATCCTTTCTTGTGGATCGGGGCCACATTCCCAGTCTTCCAGTCCAGAGTAAGCATTCCGGAATCCAGCGACTTCCTGAACAGTGTGCACAATAGGAGAGGAAGACTATTTGCAGAATGCAGAATCTCGGAGGGATGTTGGATGAAGGTCGGCTGCGGAGGTCGGTTTACAGTAGCCTTACCGGATTACCAGTAAAAATAGGTACCTTTGCTGTAATGAACTGAAATTTAAGGCTTCCATCAATTAATTTAGGAAAGTGATGCCCGTGTAGTGCCTGGGTGTGGCAGGCAGTTATGCTCGTGTCAGACGTCCGTAAACTGGGTCTGTAAACAGGGTAAAATAGCAGCTCTAAATCGTACCACCTGCGGGTTCAGGTTAGGTGTGGTGCTTAAAAATGAATGTTTTTATGTGAATCTGTTTCATTCATAAATCGAAAATTTATTGAAATATTTTGCGCTGTAATATAATACGAAACTGAGAACGAAAATGTGTATTGTTTTTCAATATTTAAAAACCTGGTGGAGAAATAAGTAAACAAAATGCGAGCTAAATGGAACTTGTGCTTTGTGTGGCCGTTTTTTAGTTTGTTTCGTTGGGATTGTGCGGGTGTGCTTGCGCGTTGTTTTTGAAAAAGTGAATCAATTTACAATGATAGACCGCTATAGAGTGATTGTTGTGGTGTGATTTGAACTGTTGTGGCGTGATAAACTCTGTTATTAGGCTTTTAAGTGACGGTGATTAAGACTTCAAGTTTCGAAGTCGTCCAAAAAATGGCGGATCTTGGACCCAACAACTCGTTTCTAGGCGTTCAGGTAAGACATCTTGACGACCCAATCCATGTATTAGGATCAGGTTTCATGTATTTTCATATTTTACTTAGTTACTGCATCACAGAATGATTCGGTGGGCCCATTTTCATTTACATTTTACTGTGGCAATTATGGCGCAATCAAAAGCACCTACAAATTTTCACAATTTTCTAGTCATCATGTGGAAAATAATCGAGTGATTGAAGACATAAGTGAATTTTTAAATATTATGCCAAAAAACGATTGTTCACATTGTGTTTGTCCTCTCTCCACAAGCTACAAGTGCATCCTGGTTTTCGTAACACTAAAGAAGGCAAATTTGCTACTTATGATATCTTAGTTTGCAACACACAGTGAGGTGAAAGAAAAGGTATTTGTTTAACTATAATTGTTTTCTGCTGAAATTAATGTAATAGCTAAATTTTATTAAACACATCAGCCCATGTCAATGAAAAATAGACCTATCCAGTCCACCTCCCCGGCGCAGGTGACCGTCTGTTGCTGCCGTAAAGTCAGATAGTGTGCTTGAGGGCGGGGGGAGCACAGATTTGGAGTGCTAGAAAACCCACAGTTTTTTACGATGCTGCTCTACCCTGTTTAACCTGATTTTGGTCCTCAATTAAAAAAAAAATTAGATATGCCCAAACCTTCCATTTTATATTACCGGCAGTGTAGCTGATTTGGCAAGTTTGAAATGTTTCCAGTAATGGTCCTGCCAACCTAATTTATGCATCAGCTCACTATGCTATGAGCTGACCACTCACTCCATTTTATAGATATGGACTCTCAAAGCTGCCACAGCTTCTTAAACCTGACTTGAATTTATCAGTGTTCGCTGTTGAAATGATGGGATGTGAGAGGTGAAAGTGCTGCTCACATATTTCTTTTTGGTTGATGCTGGCCATATTTCCTTTTCTACCATTCTCTATGTCATTATTGTAGCATGTGTTTGTTTTTTATTCAGAAATGAGATCTTAGACCCCTGCTTGTGCAGACTAGAGGACAGGTTATATAGCAAATGAAACATAGCTTGTTAAAAGGCTAGACATCAGATCCACCTTATATGCCACTAGCATGCTTTATCACTAATTGTATTCCTTGATTTGATAACATAGCTCGCAAGTTACATATTTGTTGAAGGTTGTTTTGAAGCTGATTTGCACAACTGACAATATTCATATTCAGGCAATAGTACCTGTTTTGTATCTTGCACATGCTCTGGTGTCAGATGCTTTAAATGTGCCTATTTTGACGAACAATATATGTATGGTGGTGCCATTCCCACTATCAACTTTGTTCTATTAAACCATTCACTGGAATCTGCTAGTGACAAAGTGATCTCCTCAGTGGCGGATCCAGGATTTTCACTGGGGAGGGGCTGCAGGTCATAATTGGGCGCCACGCCCCGGATGGGCGCCATAGTCGCATCGTATTGGCGCTGAAATATTGGCGCCCAGTGGCCCTGACAAGAGGCGCCCAGGATCAGTATGTACAGTGACACCACACGATTGGAAATATCGGTGCGGAGCGTACTGAAACGACGTTATTCGACTGATTTTTGCATCCTAGTCCTAGTATGCGGCACTCCGATGAGTTGCGAATTGAAAATTGGCGCCGCGCAGTTGGCGCCAGTTTTCCTTGGGTGGGGGCTGCCAGCCCCCGCAGCCCCCCCCCCCTGGATCCGCCACTGGATCTCCTGCTCCTACTCACTCACACCTTTCAATGCATAGTTTTTGGTACTCATGAAGAATGTGCTGGCACCTATCAGTTATCCTGTAATGCACCTTATCCTTGCTCCAACATGGCACATGTTTGATGTGCTTATCTGTATTTGCATTTTGCACCATTGGCTTGTACAGGAACCTTTATGTTGAATGTATGTTGCAACATCCACTCAACACCCAGTATTTAACAAATATTACTTGCTGCCTAAGCATCTGCTGGTGGGATTTCATTGAAGCAATATGCACTGAGAAGTTGTTTCACATTCCATTTAGTTTCTTAGTTCTCAGACATTCCCTGAGTCTTGAGCAATTCACCAGATTTCCTTTTTCAATATCCAATCCTCTGCTCTCCTTGCCTCTGCATCTACCTAGGACACTGCTCTGTCTATTCTCTGTCCTATGTGCCACCATACTGTCTGGCCGGCACCTCGCAGTGTCTTTTTATGTTTGCATCAAACCGTAGCTGGGATGCTCTGTTTCCTAATATCTCCAAGTGTCCCCCCCCCCCCAATGTCACCCTGTGTCTCTCCTAGCGCGTATGTCTCGCCATAGCTGGGCCACTCTGTCCCATCTCCGTGCGTCTCTCAGTGTCCCTTAGCAGCTCCCAATGTCTCCCAGTGTATGTGCTACAACGCTGGGTCACTCTGCTTCCTATCGCCTCCTAGTGTCTCAATGGGTCTGTTCCAGTCGCACTTCATAACACCTCTAAACTCCTCCAAGATTGCTTTCCTGTTCCAGTGGCAGCTCTAGCCCCTACAAAGCCAAGGAGGGCCCTGCTCCAACCTCCTCCATCTTGCTCTGGGAGGAGTTTAGAGGTGTCAGGAAGTGCGACTGGAACAGTCTCTCGACCATAGTCTCTCTAATTGTGTTCAAAGTATCCGTCTCCTGGCGTCTCTCGACTCTCCCAGTATGTCTGCCCTCCATAGCCTGGTCACTCCAATGTCTCTCTCACTCCCCACAGTGTGTATGCGCGGCTGCACCGGCCCGTGTCGGTGCCAGTGCGGTCCGCCGGTACCATAAACACTGGACAGCGCCCCCCCCCCCCTCCTGATGCAATGAACGAGTACTCCCGTGGGGGGAAGGGGGAGGGAGGAGTATTGAAGGGTGTGGTAGTGTGTGGTGTCTCGAAATTGATAAACATGCGTGATTGATCCATAAGATTGATAAGCATGGTTAGGAAGGTTAGTGTTAGTTGAATATCGTTATTTATTTTTTCATCTGGTAGTGTCGAATGGTGTAAAGAGTTCGCTGTCCATGACGGTGATATAAATGGGCGAAGGTGCAGTTTGAGTCTCGTTACAATGAAGTTTGAGTGACCCTCTCTTCCATGGACGTCCTCCGTGGTCACTGTGGGGAGACCCGCCTCTCTCCACGGCCCGTGTTGTGACAGGCGCCGTGTGCCATCCACTGCCCCCGGCCGGACCCGCCGCGGGCCGTAACCCGACCCGACCCGGCCCCGGGCGGATGTTTGTGTTTGGCCCTGCTCTGGCCCGCGGCGGTCACTAATTTTCGGACGGAATGGCCGGCTGGACGGCCGCTCAGTGATGCATTGCATGGGTCGTTTGTGTACATGTCGGTTGCCGTCCGCCTGTCGTGTGGGCCGGTGTCAGAGGGGTCACTCTGGTGTCACTGTGAGGCGCGGAGACTGGCAGGCTGTCAGTAACGGCTGTTGAGATGACAGACATTGATGCTGGATGCCATTGTGAAATTTCAGCTACACCTCCTAGTTGCAGGCATCACATCCTATTGGTTGCAGCTATTTCAGACTTGCGGTCACCCCTTCTACTTGTGCCGCTGAATCAAGCACATTCTGTCCGATCTTTTGGCACAAGTAGCCCAAGTAGGAAATATGCCATAAACCTGATCCTAAATCCTGATCCTGATCCTTATCCTGAAATCCTAAACCTGAGAGGCTACCACCAGCAGTCTGCTCACACCAGCCTGCATGTGTCCATACGCATTACGCAAATC